GTGCAATAAACAAACATTTAACTTCTTTTTCTTATTTAATAACGTTCTCTAATCCACCTTACCAGAGATACCATAGGTAGCGAGAGAGAGTGAAAAAATACCTCCATATACGACTTAGGATGAGGAGCAACAGAGGGTTCCGCCAATGCAGGTGGTGACGAAGATCTCACTGAACAGAATATTCAAAAGATCGTTGATTAATCAAGGCCAAGCAAAAACAAAGAGAATTAGCAATTGATCAATGAATAACTACCCGAACGTGAGTCAGCATCCACCTTGCCATTTGCATAAGGTTGCTGGAAAATCAAACACAAATATTAATGAAAATTATGAGAACTCGAAATTGGTCAAAAATTAGCTTCTCATCATATCTTCAGAAATACTAGAAAAAATAAACAAAAAATCTACAGGAATAATTGGCTCACCCTTGAACCGGTCCACGAGACCCTGTTAACATCTTGTTCTGCCATCGGAATTCTTCCCTGGGTTTGACCTGATATCAATACAGAAAATAGAATCAGTTAACAGACTGACATCGTGAACAAAAGGATGTTATGCAGATAACAAGGAAGATTCTAGAGAAGTACACTCCTAAACTGGAAGCAGAGATGGGAATGGTCAGGGAAGATATATATGGCTGTTGATACACGTACTGATATATAACCAACGTGAGAATTCCAAGATACGAAAGTTGGACAGGAAAAGAATATCAGGAGAACAAAAGGCATCTCGGTAGGAATTCAAGTCGTTGCAGCCTAGTGCACCTAACCAGCACCTGCTCCCCAAAAATTGCTATTGTACTTGTCCATGAGAATAATATGTGAAGATAAAAGTTCATAAAATACTGGACATGTAAAATAAAACAGGAAATTAGCTTTCAAGCGAGGCATCCTGCTGATTCTTGTTCAAACAATCGTCTATGCATGAGCACCATTGTTTCAGAAACCAGACTGAACCAGCCGGTTGAACTGGTTGGACTGTCAATTAGTCATTTCACTGGTCTAGGTATCACACCTAAGCCCAGTTCCTTCAAAAATCATTTGCCTTCCAGGAAACAGGAAGAACCCCTGGTTCAACCCCCTTTGACCTCGGTCAAAATGCCTTTTTCTTGCGTTTTTGTGGTATGACTTGTTAGACATCCAATCAGCCTTTCTCATCTCTCTTTAGGTGTGTTTGGTGGGAGGAAAAAGCAGATGGAAAGCAAAATGATATACAGTAATCTATTCGTGCAATCTTTCTTCTTCCCTTAATAATAATTTGCACAAGAATTATGTCATTCAAATTACTTTAGCCGTTATAATGACTTTGCATATTTAACAATGTTACACCTTTTCATAGCTATATAATTTTTAATAAATAAAATATGTATAGAAAAACTATAACATCGCAGATTATTGCTAAAAGGAGAAAAAGAAGGGGAAAACCAACTGCTGCACATTTCAGAGTAATGAACAGAAATCAACTTCTTTATTACCTTCTAAATTATGCATAGCAGTACTCATCAACTTCATCTCACCTAATTGCACATTTATCACACTGATAAGCTCTTCAAAGCATCTCTTCTCTGAGAAGAATGTGAACAAGTCAAATCATGATCATTACAAATTAACTCATGAGTGAAGGAAATAAAATATCCTATATCATATAGAATAAAACAGATTTCATTATATACATCAAACTGTGCACCAATACGTGGCCATCACACTCTACCTTCAGTTTTTGATATCAATATCTCCTGGCTTGTCCGAGCTACATCTGCTGCTGCAGCGGCCGCGGCTTTTGCAGCGGCTGCGGCTTCTTCTGCTAAACTGGGCTTTACTTTGTATTTCTTTTGCAAAGCCTCTTCTTCTTCTTCATCCAATACAACCTTGCGAATCCAAGACTTCAACCTGGGAATTATTGCATTCTACACAAACACATACAATGTATATGTAAGATGACATAGTGAATATTATAAAATTTGAATGGAGGAAAACTTCCTATAAAAGTAAAAGCACAATACAATGAAAAAATATAGTTTGTTAAAGTTTATGCATTTAAAAGAGAACACCTATAATTAATAGCATCATAGAAGTGGATTGTACCTTGAAAAGTACTGCTGTTCCAGCTCCTGAAACAGCCAGAAAGCCCACAGCAAGAAGGGCATGAGACCAGTGAAAGTGAGAAAGCCTCCCAATTGTTGAAATGCTGCCTGCAGGTGCAGGCTGCAGAGTTTGTATTGGAGCTTGGTGTTGAATATTTGATGGAGCTTTTACGCGTGCATCTGTTTTAACATGAATGACCATCAAGAACAGAAAATAATTAGGTAAGGATTACCCAATCTAGGTCTTGTTTTCAGAATCAATATGGAACATTGAGGAACTCAAGCAAACAGAAATATTTCATACCTTGACTTGTGGCAACCTGTTGTGTAGTTGTTACTGCTGGGGTTGGATCCTGTCATTTATACAAACTAGTGAGATCATTAGTTACCGCTTCTGAGTACCAGCAAATGCTATAGCATAAAGTTCTATAAAGAAGTATAAAATAAGGTGTTTTGCTCCAGAAAGGGAAGGGGGGAGGCGACTTACAGGAACACGACAGAAGGCTTCATCTATCTCCTGTTTTGTGAGTCCTTTCCTCTCAAGAAATGACCTTCTGTAAATAACTGGTGATCCCCTAACGTTTGGATGTGAAAGAAACTTCACGGCATTTTCCACTTGCCCTTCTCGAATTGGTTCTGAGTTCACAAATACAGAAGATGGAGAACTCTCATTTTTAGGTTCTACCTTGGCATTCTGACCATCATCAACGGTAGGTTGTGCGACCTGTGAAACTGTAGTTCAAGTTGAAAATCAAAATCTTCAATATAGAAAGATTGCTGCACCAAAAAGAATGTCAATAAATGCAGACCACATCTAGGAGCCCGTCAACTAACTAATGTACCCTCAAACACAGTGAGTAAAAAAGAAAGATTGAAATCAATTCTGTGTTTTAAGAAACTTATAGTCGTTGGATAATATCCAATAGATGTAGAAATTAACCAAAAGGATTGACTAAAAAGGATAAATGCACCTAACTCCAAATTTATTAGGAATAAAGGCTGATATTGTTGTATAAACTTAGATGATATGTGGACAAGCTGTATCCCAAAGAGTACACTAAATCAGAAGGCAAATATTAGAATGGAAAAAACAGGACAAGCAACAGTTCATTGGATGAGTTTCAAAGTACCATTAATTTGGACTAGGAGCTATAATCCAATATGAAATTATTTATATAACTGGCAGTAACAAAAAAAGGCACTTTTTTCTATTATAAGTTTGCCTTGTGAGAAGACAAAGCCGTATGCATGATAAACTAAAATTTCTCAAACAATTATGGAGTTAAACAAGTGGGCATTTTCTGGGCAATCCATTCTAAGATCGTGAATTAAACATTTATTGCAAATCTTTCAGTGGATAACATAACCTAGTCAGTACAGGTGGCTTCATTAGAGTCAGAAAAACGACAGTGGTTTCATGATGAGACGAATTACATCGCTCCAAGAATAAAATTATGATGCAGGAGCGTGAATATTAAATACTCTGGAGTTATTTGGAAAGAATTACATCACTTCACTAGCATTTGTTAATTTGAATAGATAGATTCTAAAATATGGCAGGAGATCTTAACATTTAGAGCCATTTCAGCTCTGGAAACCATACTACGACAATGCCCATGAGTAATGTTACAAACATAACTAATTCCAAACATCTTGTTCTAGTATGTTTGGCCCAGATCAAAAGGCAAAACAAGCCTTGTTTCTAGCGCTTTGTTCCGCAGCATCAAGAGTGTCACTGGCTCATTGCCAAAGTAAGATAGCTTTTTTGCTTTTAAGCAAGGCCAACGAACTGTAAGTGGTTCATCTAACCTAACAGTCAAATCGGAGTAAAATCAATCCCGATCAATTAAATTTGTAAACTAAACTAACCCACAAAAAAAAAA